ATTCCTCCGCACATGGGAAACAAAAGGCAACCCCCCCACTCGTCCAAATGTGCCATCTGATCAGGCAGTAATCAGCTGAGCCCACAGCTACAAATGATGTGTCAGGTAGCCCTATCATGGTGTTGGAATGCGAGGGGGGATTTTATCTCCCTCCCGTTCTCAGCGCTTCTCTGCCTAACTCCCCTGCTATCTGCACATAGGCCTTGAAGATGCTTTGCTGTAATTCCCCAGGCCTGGGAACCGTAACTGTTTTGGGCACAAAATTGCTTGCTTGCTGGCAGGGCCTGCATGCGAGAGAAAACTTCATTGGCTTTGCAGGTGGGGGGGCAGTTTGAATATACTATAGGTTAGTGGCCATCTTATTATAAGGCATTCTTAACACAGGCTGTATACATGTACTTTAGTTCTGCATTACCATAATAAAGACTTATTTTCTGAAGAAGCCTGGGTGTGTGGATCACCTGCCTAAAGTTCCTGACAAAGTGTTAAGAATCATTTTCTTCTCGACTCAAATCTCTTCATGGAGATGAGCGAAGGTGAGAAGGCACAAACCGATGGCAAGGACCAAACCCTGCCTGCAGACAACTCGAGCGGCACTGAGAAGGTGGAGAAGGATTAACAGGACAGTGGCACGGAAGAAGATGTTCTCCGTGTTCCCTTTGGGGGGGCCCAGGCGATTACCCATCTACAGGGCCCCTGTTGGGGCCGGTTCAGTGAGAACCCACATGAAACTTGGACTTGGAGAGCCAGTTTGGTGTAGTGGTTAAGTATGTGGACTCTAATCTGGGAGAACCGGGTTTGATTTCCCACTCCTCCACTGGCACCTGCTGATGTGACCTTGGGTCAGTCACAAGCTCTGGCACAGCTGTCCTTGAAAAAGAGCAGTTTGTGTCACAGTTCTCTCAGCCCCACCCACCTCACAGGGTATCTGTTGTGGAGAGGGGAGGGAAAGGGGTTTGTAAGCCACTCTGAGACTCCAAGTGAAGGGCGGGGTATAAATCCAATCTCTTCTCTTCTTCTTCTTCTTCTTTTTATTCACCTATTTGGGCCATGGCTCACCAATGGGGATGTCGCTACAACAAGCCACCCAGCCTGGACAAGTATGAGATGGAGGTTTGCAGTGACGTCCCCCTTCGTACAGTTAATGGGCCCAACAGGGCAGTGGAACAGGAAGACATGGGTGAAGAGTTTGTCGGCACCCGGTTGGATCTACTTGAGAGGGGGTTTGACCGAATGATGCAGATGCTTGAGAACTCTCTCCAGGGAATCCCTACCATCGTTGCCACAGCGGTGCAGCAAGAATTTCAGCACCCACCGCAGCTGGTACCGCAAGTACAAGCACAAGGAGCCCCGGCTCAGGTTCCTGCGCCACGGCTACCCCCTCCTGTGGTTCACCCACTGGTGAGACCACTGGGGCCCGGGGTTCTGGCAGTCCTGGGCCCAGATCTCCATTGCCCGATTGAGCCCCTGGATGCAACGTTCAATGGATCCCCAGAGAGTCTGTGGTTCTTTGTGGTGCACACCCAAAAATTCGTAATGAATTGGGGCCACCTGTTTCCAACCGAAGAATGCAGAGTGGACTACATCGTGTCCTGGCTGCGGGATGAGGCAGCAGCTTGGTACGTTAGTCTACGTAACACTGATGGACCGGAACTCCAGTCAGTGGATGCCTTCATGTGGGCCCTCTGGGCTCAATTCGAAGATCCAATGCGGGAGCGCAGGTGAGAGCCTTTTTCTGCACCTTCAAGCAAGGTAGACTGTCGGTCAAGGCGTATATGAGTGAATTCAGGAGGCAGGTGGCACAAATTCGAGGCTGGCCTGATGAGGTTCTGGCAGAGCAGTACCGTTTGGGCCTTAACCCGGATGTCCGGCAGACGGTTCTGCATAGCGTCAACCCAATCTCCCTGGATGCCTGGATTCATGAGGCAGCAGATGCAGAGACCCACCTGCACACCATCAAACTCGATAACACTACTACAGTAGGTAAGATGGTGCTGGCCTCACCTAAGCAGAAGGCACCCACCTCGAAGAAAGAAGGGGTGAGAGACTTACGTATGAAACAAGGTCTGTGCCTGAAGTGGATTACCAGGCCACTTTGCGGCCACATGTCCGGGGGGGGGATATCACCCATCCGGTGAAGAAACCATTGGAGAAGCGGAGGTCTGACATGCCTGTGAAGAAATCTTCTGTGAAGCCGAAGGGCCCCAAAGCTCTGCACGCTAGCATCATGGAGGAGGAGCTCGAGTCTAGCGAAGATGAGGACCAGCCGATGGGAAATGGACAGGACCTGCACTAAGCAGCACAGAGCATCAGGTACGGATCCTCAAGGCACCAAAAACGGTGAGCGGATATCCCCCCCCTTTTTCATTACCGCGACTGTCCAGAATCCAGAGCTCGGTACCCACATCAGGGTGCGAGCTCTCATAGACTCCGGCTGTGGGCGAGACCTGATAAATCCCTCTTTGATCACAGGGCTGGGGGCTAAGGCTGTTCGATTAGCGGATCCCATTGTATTCACCCAAATGGATGGGTCTGCTATGAAAGATCCTTGCAAATACGAGACTGTGCCATTGAGGATGGGGGTAGGGTCCTAGTGGGAGCACCGTCCCTTTATCATCACGGCGGCTGCCTGTTTTCCAATGGTGCTGGGGAGCCCATGGTTACACGCCCACGACCCGTACATACTTTGGGACGAGGGGCTGGTGAAAAGCAGGATCCTAGCCTGCTTTTGTTATGGATCTCAAGCTCAATACATTACAGCAGCACACTGAAGAAGAGAAATTCCCCCTTCATCACTGGAAGGTCAAATAAACAGGGCATAGAGGCCAAGGCCTTCCCTGATCAAGAGCAGTCTTAGTGATTCTGGGCCCCAGGGCAAAACTTGAGGTTCTGGCTGTAGAATCATTGGGTATTCATTGGGAATCATTGGCTGTAGAATCATTGGCAGGCCCATAGCCAGGATTTTTTTCCTTGTGGGGCAGACACAACATCAAATAAAAGATAAAATAAACATGAATTGCAGCTCTTCAAACCTGAATTGTATCTGTAGCTCTTCACCACCACCCCTGTTTTGACCCACCATCAAATGAAAACTGGATTTTTTGGTTGCTTTTAAAAATTATGCTTTACTTGCAGTGGCTCTTTAAACATAAATTGTGGCTCATCCCCCTCCTATCAGTTGTTAAAGGAACAGTTGATCAGGGGGAGTGAAACTGACCAGAAGCTGCAGGGCGGCTTCCCTTTCTTTCCCCAGCGTCTCTGCTGCTGTTGGACTAGGCAAACTGGGGTCTGGGGGGGGGGTCTGGCATTCTCAGGTGGTGGGGCAGGGTTTGTGGGTGGGGGACTCTGGCCCCAAATGCCCCACTGTGGCTATGGGCCAGGTGGGGGCAGGGCATGGCCACACCCAGTTCCATTGCTCCCTCTAAGCTGTGGTGTTGTGAGCAAAAATTCTACTTTGTGAGCTACTAGCATTAAAGTTACGAGTGAGCGATTTGGCTACTGCATAAATCAGTTTGCTCTGGAGCCATCCTTCCTGAGCTAAGTAAAATATCTGTGAGCTGGAGGCTAAAAAACTGTGAGCTATCTCACAGTAACTTAGAGGGAACACTGCTGCCCACACTATTTCCTCTTTTACTCATCCTGGTGGCTGCTGTTGAACAGTGGCAAGCAGGCAGGCCCGGGTGAGTCTAGGTATCCAGCTGGGTAGTATCAAGTTGCCCAGTAGCTGCTGACAGGCCTGGCCCCAAAGAATCTTCCTTCAAAGGCCAAAACAGCCTGGAATGGGCCCTGCCCCTTCTCCCTGCCTTTTACTGACAAAAACCAAAGTTAGGTGACCGGTTACACTGTTGTACTTGCCTAGCAATGGCTGCTGAGGGCATCCATTTTGTAAAGCTAAAGACAGTATCCACAAATTTGACTACACTGAGAATTAGATATATTAATATTTGATTCCTCGTAATCACCTTGTATGTATGTGTGTGTCTCTATCTATCTATCTATCTATCTATCTATCTATCTATCTATCTATCTATCTATCTATCTATCTATCCATCCATCTATCTATCCATCTATCATCTATCCATCTATCATCTATCCATCTATCATTTATCATCTGTCTGTCTGTCTATCTATCTAATCTTTAGCCACAAGTCCTATTCCGCTGCCACCCCCTTCCCACATAAAATCTGTTGAAAATATAACAGTGGCCAATTGACCTGTCCTTGAAAAACAAGATAAAGATTTGGTTTTATGTCAGCCAGCCAGAACTATGTGAATTTACAAGCCAAGGCTGAAATATTTCAACAATGCTGCCTGTGAAAAAAAATATTCTTGAGCGTCAGGGCACACACGCATGCACAAAATCCTCTTGCTTATCTTTAAGACTAGGGTTACCCAGCAACAGCCCAAAATGTCACTGGAGCTGGAAGACAAACAAAGCTGCCTCGGAAACTAACTGGCCAGTCCGCACCTTCTTAAACTCTTGGCCAGGCAATCTGCAAATCCACACTAGCACCCATAAACAAAACCACACCTGCCAGGTCACTGAGCTCCAGCAACAGGTTACCAGCAAACTCTGATGAAGGGAGGTGCAATATACTGGGTTCAGCCACAAATTACTGTGCAACCCCCCCCCCTTTATCACTATTCCTAAAAGATCAGGCTTGAAACTTCAGAGAGATGTATTATATGTGCTGCTCTCTAGAGCTCCCTTGGTGTCAGTAGGGTTAATCAATCAATCCACAGAGGACCTGCAGGTCTGGGAGGAGAAAGAGGAGGCTGGACCGAGAAAGAATAGGGGTGTGTATGTGTGTGTGGAGATTTTGGGAGGTTCATATACTACACCTTCCCCAGCTCCCTTGGCCGCCTCCTCCCAAAATCATCCCAAACTCCTGCAGAGTTTAGACAGGGCTGTTGCCTAGAAAGGTGCACAAGAGAAAGAGACCAGTAAGGACCGAAACAAGTTTCTTTTCTGTCTCTCTCACTCTCTTTGTGATCTCTCTCTCTCTCTCTCTCTCTCCGAACAAGCAACAGATGACAGCTATACACTGAGGGAGGGAAAAAAAGCAAGCTTCTTCGCTACCAGGCAGTATCTGACCCAGATCTGTGGAGCCGAGCGGAGCCGCTTCCGAGAGGGATAAATAAGCACCTCCAAGCTCCAGTGGCACAATTGCCAGAACAAGCAACGAGTTGGGGCACCGGCCTTGGAGGGGCATCCGCGTGCCCAGCGGTGGGTGTGTGAGCCAGCCGTTCCGTCAGCGGAGGAGTCAGAAAGCAGAGGCAGTGGCACCGACTGCGCCGCTGCCCTCTAGGATTTCCAGCCGGGGAAGGAGGCACCCCGCGGGGCACCCCTCGCGGGACCGGAGTTGCGAAGAAGAGGGGGAGAGAGAGAGAAAGGGAGACCCGAAGACCAGAGGATGCTGCTGCTCCCGCTGTGGCTGCTGCTGCCGGAGGTGGTGCTCCTGGTGCCGGCGCAGAAGGTGTCCGCGCTCACGGTAAGGCAGGCTGCTTCCTCTCGCTTCTTCCCACTTCCCCGCCGTCGCCGCGCGGGGGCAGCAGATCGCCCGCCCGCTCGCCCGCCCGCCGTCCCTTTCCCCAGGCCGCCGGCCTCCCGCTTTGTCTTCCCACCCACAACGGCACTTGCTGATCGTGGCGTCCCTTACCGAGCGAGAATGTGCAGCCTGAAAATGTTGACGTTATTATTAGTAGTAGTAGTAGTACCAGCAGCAGCAGCAGTAGTGATTTTGTTACAAAACTTTCGACGTACACGTTCCTGTATATAACACCGAATGCTACTTCACGTGTGTAGAAAGTACCCAGAAAGCATCCCCACAATAAAACTGAGGAAATGTCAACTTTTTAAAAACCAAACTGATTAGCCCTCAGTATTGTATTGAAAGGTTCTTAAAATCTTAAATATATGTAGTTGTCATGGCTTTTCAGTTCTCCATTTCTCTATAATATCTCTGTCAGAAATCCTGTGACATGCTTTGTTTGTCAAATATTGGGGAATGCTTTTATTTTTAGTTGTTTTTAATCATCTCTGTGTGGTACTGGATGGCAGTCTCTACATCAGGGATCGCCAACATGGTGCCCACTTGAACCTTTCCTGGCACCCACAACCTGTTTTTAGAAGTGGGTGGGGCTTTTGCCTAGCAGCACTTCTGATAAGCTGTGTGGAAGGAAATATTTTTAAACATACATTTGTTTTTAAAGGCATTTTGTTAAGTAGGGCACTGACCAAGCTGTTTAAAAGTTGCTATTAGAGATATGTATAACTTCACTGAGCTTTTGTGGTTGGCTCTGACTTCCTTGGAAACCATTTTGTGGTTGTGCCCACCACCCTGTGCCACAATTTGAAAGGTGCGCACAGGCTAGAAAAGGTCGGGGACCTATAAACATGAGTGCACACACTGTAGCATTTCTAGGTTCATAAAATCAAGAGCCCAATTAATGGGGTGTATGCCTCCCCACTCTTAATGCATGCTTGCATATTCTGTGATGAGTCTATAGCGATAGTGAGGAGAGATCAAAGCCACAATAACTAGATTCATTACTCACACATGCTTTGTGAGCATTCCAAGGGCCATGTGGAGCAGCTGAAATCAATACAATTTATTCACTGAATATATGTGCTCCAGCTTTTGTTGGACACTGACACATAAGGTGCTCCAGTTACATATCTTCACTTGAAATAACTTTGCCCCACTGAAGTAAATTGAACCAAGTAAATTCAAGTGCAACTACAGCGGTTTAAGTGGCTTGTGATTGGCAGCCTACAGCTTGCATAGGGCTGCCAAGCCGCAGCGGGGGATCCGTGCATCTTCACAGGATCCCTGCCGCGGGGGACAGCGATACGTGTTGCACTGCCGTCGCCAGGATGTGACACTATGCATGACGTATCGCTGTCCCCCGGGGCAGGGATCCTGTGAAGACGCACGGATCCCCCGCCGCGGCTTGGCAGCCCTACTGGCCACATGTGCCAGAAAACGCGGGGGGGGGGAGGTGTGGCTATTTGCGCCATCACATTCTGAATCGCCATTATGTGATCAGACGCGACAGTGGCGCACCCGGCTTTCATCTTTCGGCGTGTGCTGCAAAGAGGATGGCTGGAGGGAATAGGTGCACACAGGCGCGATCACACCGAATGAGCCCGTGGCAAACCATTTGCTAGTAGATCTTTGCAGGTGCCTTTTAACTGTGCATCTTTGGCAGCATGCCACGGGTTGGCTACGAGTGCGCTATGCTTCCCAGATGTTGCTGTGTGATTGTGCCTCGAAAATCCGCCCAGCATTTGTGCCTTTCGCGCAGCAAATTCTCTGTGTGACCGGGGCCTAGGATGTGTTACTTAAAAGAAAAGTTCATTGCTGTCACTTTCACTCAGTAACAACACAGTTCTAAACAGAGTCACACACTTCTAGTTTGGTGTAGTGGTTAAGAGCGGTGGACTCTAATACAGAGAACTGGGTTTGATTCCTCACTCCTCCACATGCAGCCAGCTGGGTGACCTGGGTCAGTCACAGTTCTCTCAGAGCTGTTCTCTCAAGAGCAGTTCTCAGTCAGAGCTCTCTCAGCCCCACCCACCTCACAGGGTGTCTGTTGTGGGGAGAGGAAGAGAAGGAGATTGTAGGCTGCTCTGAGACTCCAAGTGAAGGGCAGTGTATAAATCCAATCTCCTCCTCCTCCTTCCCATTAACTTAGTTATCCCCCATTAAGTTGGGGGATTCCCGGAGATCTGGGGGACGGAGCCCGGGGAAGGAGGGGTTTGGAGAGCTAGACTCTATGGCATTACACCTTGTGGAGTCTCCTCCCCTCCCCAAATCCCATCCTCCCCAGGCTCTACCACCAAATCTCCAGGAATTTCTCATCAGAGCTGGCAACCCTAGGTATAAACATCATAGAGTCCATCCTCCAAAGCTTCCATTTCTCCAGGGGAACTGATCTCTGTAGCCTGGAGGTCAGTTGTAATCCTGGGAGATCTCCAGGCCCCATCTGGAGGTTGGTAACCCTTCCATAATGTCTGTGGGCTCCCACTTCATTTATTTATTTAGAAAATGTATCTGCCTCCTCTCCAGAGATATGTTCAAGGTGACTTACAACTAAAAGAATAAAACAAAACTACTAAAAACAAGACCAAGCCATTAAAAATGTGCCACTAAACAGAAGCCAATGCTATTACAACAATCTACTAAGAAACAAGACACCATTAAAACAAGTCAGAGCATAACAGCATAAAGTTTCCCTCTTAGAGGGGCTGTTCCCGGGGACACTCAAGGAAGTGATGGTCCACCCACTCCTAAAAAAAACATCTTTGGACCCAGCCGAATTGGCTAATTATCGGCCGGTCACTAATTTGCCCTATTTGGGCAAATTAATTGAGAGGGCGGTGGTGATACAGTTATAGGACTTTATTCCATGTTAGCCCCCTTCCAGTCCGGCTTTCGCCCGGGACACGGGACGGAGACGGCACTGGGCGCTCTGACTGACGATCTCCGGAGGCATCTGGATCGGGGCGACTTGGCGGTACTGATGTTGTTGGACCTGTCAGCTGCGTTCGACATGGTCGACCATTGGTTGCTGCTTCACCACCTCCAGGGGCTTGCCTTGCAATGGCTTGCTTCATTTCTCCAAGGTCGGGGACAAAGGGTGGCACTCAGGGAGCAACAGTCCCGGAGGCACCCGCTGGAGTGCAGAGTGCCTCAAGGGGCAGTGCTATCCCCGATGCTATTTAACATCTACATGCACCCCCTTGCCCTGATGGCCCAGAGTCATGGGCTGGGGTGTCGTCAGTATGCTGATGACACCCAACTCTATCTGATGTTGGGCGGCCGGTTGAACTCCAGTCCTGAAGATCTGGACCAGGCGTTACAGGCCATGGCTGCTTGGCTCAGGCTGAGTCGACTGAAACTAAATCCAGTGAAGACGGAGGTCCTGTGTGTGGGTTGGGGTGTGGCGTGGCTGGGGATCCCACTCCTGACCTTCGGTGGGGCGCCATTGGTGCCAGTACCGGAGGTTAGGAGTTTAGGAGTGCTCCTGGACTCCTCCTTAACAATGGAGGCCCAGGTAGCAGCCACTGCCAAGTTGGCCTTCTACCATCTGTGGCTGATCAGGCAGTTGGTTCCCTTCCTCGACCGCAACGACCTGGCCACAGTGATCCATGCGACGGTCACCTTGAGGCTAGACAACTGCAGTGCTCTCTATGTGGGGCTGCCCTTGTTGCAAATTTGGAAGCTGCAGCTAGTGCAGAATGCCGCGGCCAGGCTGCTGATGGGCTTACCTAGATGGGAGCACATCTGGCCTGTGCTGAAGGCTCTCCACTGGCTGCCAATAGCATACTGAATCCATTTCAAGGTGCTGGTGCTTACCTTTAAAGCCCTATATGGCCAGGGTCTGACGTACCTGAGGGACCGCCTTTCCCCACATATACCTCAGAGAGCACTGAGATCAGGGTCACAGAACTGGCTGACCTTCCCTGGCCCCAAGGTGGCCAGGCTCGCGATGATGAGGGCCAGGGTGGCGGCTCCTTACTGGTGGAATGAGCTCCCGGAGGAGATCAGGACCCTGCGGGACCTTTTGCAATTTCGCAGGGCCTGCAAGACAGAGCTCTTCTGCCACGCTTTTAACTAGGAGCCGCCCCTCCACTATTACCATCAATGAGCCCGGCCTTCGGTTTCTTTAACATCTGCTCATTTCCGTCGAGTGACGCGGGACGACAGAGAGGTGGAACTTAGTAGTTGTCTAGATACCCGAATGTGCCATTGTAAGTACTGAATTATACAATCAACTAGCACTTTAGGATTTTATAGGATTTTATATTTGTATTAAGTGTTGCATTGTTGTATATTGTTTTATTGGCAATTGGTGCCATTGTTGTAAGCCGCCCTGAGCCCGTGCGGGGAGGGAGGGGTAGAAGTCACATAAATAAATAAATGATACACTGATCAGCTGAAAATGATGTTGATAAAAAATCTGTGGACCAGAAGCATACCATAATATAATGAAGTTTAAAAGCCTCAGTTTCTCAGTTAAAAGCCTGGGCAGAAAGGAACCTAAATAAAAATCAGGTAGACTCCAGGTAAGAATCAGGTAGACTCCAGGTAGGAGTCTACAGCGGAGGTCTCCTGCCAGCAGCCACAAAAATTATTGTCATGTCAACAGCATGCAGTAAAAACACAGAGTTACCAATGAATCATACAGTGTAGAGTGGCCAGGCCACTGCCAGCAATGCTGGCATAAATTGGAGGGTGGGGCCTGGTGCTCTGGCATTGCACTGGTGTGCTTACATCACTTCTGGTAAAAACCGGATGTGGTGTATTTAGACATTCTCTCATCTATAAAAACTCTGTTTTTACCCCAGAGTTTTTGTAAAATGCTAGAGTATTCACTATGCCACTTCTGGTTTTAGGGATGCCACCACGATGCTGGCCTGTGCTCCTTTCCACCGTTTCCTCCCACTACCACCTGAACAATGCTCCCTCTAGGCTGTGGAATCTTG